CGTTTGTCGACCAGGCACAACGTACGCAAATCTCTATACTGTAACAGATCAGATTGCTTTACAACTGTAATAAGGTTCATTGCTAAATTCAACTTAGCGATGGATGTTGGGAGGTTCTGAGGGACGCTGGTGAGGCCCTTTCTGCAGAATGATGATGGTTTGTTACACTTGTCGCAGAAAGCTTCTGGCACGTTGAGTTCCTTCAGGATAATGAGAAGGAAAATCAGCATGTGTCGAAGCCTTTTTCCCATGGTGTCCTGTCACCTAAAAAGGAAGGCAATCGAAATATCAAAAGTTGTTTAGTAATAACCACGTATTGATAACCACTTGTTTGCTAGAACCGACGTTTCGATGACCGTCAGCCATCTCCATCATGGCAAAGTGGGTGGTACGCTATGCACTGAGGCTAAGTGTTACATTTGGAACTGCATATCTCACTGTTGTTGTTTATAATATATCTATGTATGTCACAAGCAATTATCTAGGTTTTGGACGCGGCTTCAGTGCACAGCGAGCATTTTCTTATGGCCAGGCTTCTATGATAGCTATCTACAGTACCGATCACGGGATGTGCATCATCGGGATGCAGGATTTTTTTGGGATATCTCACAAGAAAATAGCTTACCTCCTAATGTTAGAAATGCAAAAACACTCAGTGTCTTCAAGACTACCTTTTCTTTACTCAACAGTTAATATGATTTGTTGTTAATTTTCCATTTTGCCTTTAGACATTGATATGCAAATTCAGTTCCATTATTATTTATATCATTTGTCATATTTATTTCGTATGTTTTATGTACTTTATTAGTCTGTTCAGTTTCTTTTATCATTACCCTTTGATTGTACTAAATTTACCTTTTATTATGTTATTTATGTCACAGGGAGCTTTGAAAAGCGCCAAAATGGCGATATGCTAGCCTGTATAAATAAATAAAATGAATGAAAATGAGGAATGAATATGTTAAGACCTTCGTCTCCGGTATATTTACTGCAAGTTTATAGACCAAAAAAAGAAAAAGAAAATGGGGCGTACAACCGTATTGTTGACACCACCAAGGAGCTTGATATAACGTCCTTGATATAATGTTTACTTCCATTCACGTATTATCCTGAACTTACTTCCACGCGGCTGACAAAGTGCCTTTTGGTAGGAAAAGCATTCTGGTCCTGCCAACCCAAATCACTACAGCCAGGAGTGAGCCAGCCTTACTTTGAAAACAGAGTCAAATTTTTGCCAAAGCCGCGGTACTTCGTAGCGCATGAACTTTCTAGGCACAGGAGAACCCGAATTTGATGTGTTTACTGCCGCAAAAGTTGATCTAGATTCATTCATTCGCAGACAATATAAATTGACCATGTGAAAAATGAAATTCACTCGGTACACTCCGTGAAAACAGCCTCCTCGGTGTTACTTGTGAAAAACGTTGTTTTGGGATGAAATCCGGATGAGAAAAATATTATGGCGCGTGCAGGACTAAGGCGGAAAATCGCTACATTGTGCCGCCTGGCTCAAGGACATTGTACAGATGTTACGTTATAATGTCCTTGGGCGGAATCTCTCGCGCGGAGTACAAGTCTTTGTAAATTTGCGACCCAGCCGGGGGGCGGGTCCTCGCGTGTGGGCTGTGAGCGCTGACGCCGGGTAATCTGCTGCGGACGTGCCGTTATAATTACCTTCAGGTTGGCAACGTGGCGCGGGAACCAAACCGGTCCAACAGCGTAGCGGGCGAAATATATCAATTTTGAATTGTCGTAAGGCCATTTTAATTTGATTATATGGATGACATCCTTTGAGAACCCCAAAACTAAGAGCGTTCGTCGACGACGACGAATGAAAAAAAAGTTGAGCGAAAAAAAGTTGCTTTCATTATGAAATCAACGTGGTCATAAAGGTAGAACAAATGACACAGAGTATGGTTTGGCGAATAATCTACTCTCAAATTAATTTCTTTACATTTTCATCTTTCTTCGTTTGATTTTGGCATTCTATGACATTGGTATCGTTTTCCAATATTTTTTGTTAAAACTTACGGTATATATTTGCTCATTTTGCAGCTATTTTGCACGGTTTACAGTATGGTCGATCTTTTTTTGGAAACGGCCAAAAATTCATGCGCGCATGGATGTCATCCATATAATCAAATCGACATGGCCTAAACAAGGTCCAGGGGCGTAAAGGACCTTTGAATTATGCTTGGCCCCCTTCTTTTATATAAATAGTTAGTCTCTCTTCCGCAACTCCGTGCGTCAACCTCCTCTATCTAGGAGAAAAATAAAGAACTCCAGTGGCGATATGGCACGTAGATGCGTTACATTTTGTACGTCACAGGTCCTCCATTACAAAACTAAGAATCAGTTGTCACAAATTACGAATCGAATCAGGAAGACATAACCGCACTCCTCTAGAACAAAGAACCTGTCAATTCTGTAGTTTAGGTCAAATAGAAGATAGAAAATAGAAATACATTTCACCATAGATTGCTCCTTGTATAGTAGAAATAGACTCATATTTTTAGCCATGTATTAAGTATATTTCTCCACTTTAGTTATTTGACTAGTATAGAGAAAGTTGTATTCCATTTAACTTTTGATAAACCTACTCTAAGTAATCTCACAGCCGCATATATCCATACAATCACTACTAAGCGAGATGAAGCCGAAAAGAATAGAAATTAGACATTTATTTACACATCTTATATGTTCATATATTTGTAATGTATATGTTTATGTTCATGTTCTGTATCCATGCGACCTGTACTTAGTTCTGTAGAACACAAATATACAATAAAGGTCTTCTTCATATTTATTAGATCTGAGATATCGTGGGTCGAGTGACAGCAGTAGCGGGCCGGCCACATCGCAAGGTCGGACACAAGGTCGTACTCTTGTACCAAGGAGGTATTGTTTTGTTATTGTTCTAAAACTTAAGCCACCAGATAATACGATATTAAATTAGATAAAAGTTTGATAAAAACACTCTCCATTTGTTCTACTGTTAATTTCGTGCATTAAAACCAAACACAAAATCAATCTAAAAACGTGATTCAAATTTGCTAGCAGCGCCGGTGCTTTCAGGACTCGGGGAAAACAGGTCTCACACAGAAGATCGGATTATATTTACGGGAAAGGATAAGTGTATATCAGGATATCCCGCAAAAATCCTTCGGGATATCCCGAAAAATCCCACGGGATATCCCGAACAATTTCACGGGATATCCCGAAACATCCCGCGGGACATCCTGCGGGATTTGCAGACCGTCTGAAAATGAAGCAAAAGCCTTTTTTTCACACAAATATCTGCTTTAGAGATTCAAACATTGGTTAAGGTATATCAGACTGTCTACACAACAGTTGTAGCTTGTATCTGTATCGGTATAGCCGGTATAACCGCCCTTCGGCGTAACACACCAGCTTCGCAGGCACGCGGCGCGGCGGCAGCTAGCTATATCACACCGAACGACTTGTTACACTCAATCGTTGCGCATTTAATTGCAGGAGTTGTTTAAAGCTTTCTAGTGATGATGCCCCAACTGTGCTTGGTGACAACGAGTTCCAGTCTACGATAGTTCTGGGGAAATACGAGTTTTTGAATGCCTCAATTCTTGGTTGATAACTCTGATATTCGAAGGCATAACTGTTTCTTATTCTTTTCTGGGCTGGTATCAGATACTTAGTAGTTGGTACGTCCACCAGTCATTTTGTTCATCATCTACTAAACTAAAATCTCATTTACATATCCACATACCTTTTCAGCCAGTCGAAATAGCTTCAGTTGGAACTTTCTTGGTAAGAACCCGTGTAGAATGCCTCTGGCACAGGTTGCTGTTGATCATGTAGAGTGTGTCGTCCTTCGGTAGCTGATCCGCAATGCCGTGTGACAAACAACCCAAGGTTAGTCTTGCGTACGTGGTCAAGCCGATTGTCTGAATCTTGCCAAAGATTAGTCCAGTGCTTTCTTCAAGAAGACAAGAAGCTAGAACAGTGAGGTGCTTCTTTTGAAGATGGAAGAAGTGAAGTCCTTGGTCACACTTGTAGAGAAGGCCGTTGCGTCTTTGAATGAAAGGAAGTGCGGTGCTTTTGTGGACTTAAGTAATTGCAATGCTTTTTTTATAAACAGAAATGCAAAAGCAAAGAAAACATTTGCTGCTTTTTTTTATCAAGACACGTGAATTTGAAGGTTAAAATTTAAATCTCTAGTCAGAGACTAAAAGTAACTTCTATAGCAAATGCCACTAAACACAGACTTTAATCTTATCATGAAAGTTCATCTGTGTTGGTAGTAATCATATAGTAAAACGTTAAACTTTATTCCAACACACTATTTACAGGGATCAAATTTTCAGCGACCACTGTCGCCTTCATCAGGATAATTAATGACCAATCACTTCAAAACGTAATCTCGCGAGAGCCACGGTCCACAAACACGTGACCTTATTCACACGAGACTTTACTGATACGTGACGTAAGCAATTGATCAAAAGTGCCAAAGTTCAGCCTTCACTTAATAGAGATGGTGGACGATATAAACTCCCTGGCACTTTTGATCAATTGCTTACGTCACGTATCAGTAAAGTCTCGTGTGAATAAGGTCACGTGTTTGTGGACCGTGGCTCTCGCGAGATCACGTTTTGAAGTGATTGGTCATTAATTATCCTGATGAAGGCGACAGTGGTCGCTGAAAATTTGATCCCTGTAAATAGTGTGTTGGAATAAAGTTTAACGTTTTACTAAGACTTTAATCTTGTATACAATCTCAGACAAAATAAGGTAAAGTCAAGAAGAATAATTATAGCAGTTTGCATGTATCGGCTTCATAATGTATGCTAAAATTTTGTATGATTTTTATGTTAGAAGTAGTCACATGACTTTATGTTGTGCAACGAAATGCAAATCACCCCCATAAGATAGATTTTTACCTGCACTACTCTGTAAGAAATTTTCTTGACAGGAAAAGAAAACGAGTATTGCAGGTGATTTTGTGGGTTCACTTCACCGGTGCAAATGTCCAGAAAAACACATGTCAAGCTCTGTTTCGATTACACAGTGTTGCATAAGCTTTCATTCTAGTACATAGTGTTGCGTGCAACTACATGCTGAACTGTTCTATGTTTATGCAGTCGACAGCTGTTGCCTTGTCGGTGTTAGTTAATTCACGCACTATACGAAACCCACATGGTGGCCATAGTCAGGTACATAGAAAGTGCAAAAGACGATCTATCCAGAACAAGATGCTCGGGACACCAAACCTACACCACATGTTTCTAATTAAAATAATGAAAACAGCTACCAAAAAATGAAAACCCTTACAAGTTCTACTGCAGTATGGACAGTCAGAAAGCAGCTCACCTTGAACCCTGACCATTGTCTTCCAAAGATCCACCCACATACTAAATTCCTTCTGCTGTCACATGAAACCAACGCTCAAATTGTCGCCATCACACAGTTTTATTTATCCAAAATTAAGCGATTTCTTCACTGATGTAGATGTACACTGTACTGACATAACACCACCTTAATTGTTTAATTCTGTTCCTGTACATCGGACTTCACCTATTTAATACTTCTGTCTTGTAATTGTTCCTTTTATGTACTAGTGGTGACGGTACTATATGAAGCTATTTCGATTACGTGCCCTACCATTATGTATTGTTTTGTTTGAATATTGAAATTAAGATATATAATAAAATATAATAATATCCATGCAGACCAATTTCTGTTGAGCACAAATTTGCAGAAACGCAACCCAAAAAACAAAAAGAATCTAGAGATCCCATACCTCATGTACCAGAGGGGTTAGCCGACTATGACATTTCCTCTAAAAATCTTCCTGTGCCTATTTGTTAATTCATGTATTATCAATAGAGAAACTAGCATAGAGAAACTATATTTAACCCTCAACAGTACACCTTCCCGGACTGATTAATCTGTACACCTGGGGTCCGCGCGGACCCCAGAGCAGTTTTTTGCTAATTTTTAGAAATTATTAACATGCTACCAGCTCAATTGTTTTGCAAACTGATGTGGGAACCTCTGTGTCCACATTACATACAAAAATCATACATTTTTAACTTTTTCTATTTTTTGGTGAAGAAAAGAAGACAAGAAGAAATACCCGATTTTTAAACCCATTTCAGACTGAAGGGGCTTTTGAGGCCCAACTTTGATCTCAGATAGCGGCTAAACGGCTTGCGCTAGAAGTATCAAATTTGGAGACCTTTCCTAAAATGTCTCTGGAAAAAAGTTCATATTAGTTTTATACTAGTAAGTTGATGTTTTTTTGTGTTGCCATGGCAACGGGTAGTTTTTTTGAAAATAGAAGTAATTTTGGTTTAAACATAAAAATTTTCTGCGTTTTATGTAAAATTACACTTCTTTTCCAACATTAATAACATCTTACATAATTAAATATAAGTTAAATCATTTAATATGCATAGAATATGCTAATTTGATGACGTCATTGGTCAAAATCCAATATGGCGGACTATATTATTAGCTCTGACGTCATATGACGTAATAATTACACCAAAGTTATTAAAATTTAATTCTATTACTACACCATTCTCTGAAAACTTGGTAGACATACGATGAATGCATAAAAACATATAAAAACGGAAATAAGGTAATGTATAAGAACGCCAGTGTATCCATTATGATCGAAAGCCGGCTGGGGTCCGCGCGGACCCCAAAAGAAAATCAGATATAATTTTTTTATAAATGGTAGAAACGGAGTTTTCTGCACTGCATTAAGAGACAACTTTGTGGGTGACAATTACCTAAAATTTCAGAAAAAAATCTTTAGAAACAAAAAAGATATTACAGAATATATAGTGCCGGGGTCCGCGCGGACCCCAGGTGTACTGTTTAGGGTTAAAAGAAGATTGTCCGTAAAAATGTCATTACAAGATGGTCACGGTTGCAGAGTTGGTGCCTCCGTGTGAATGTTCATATGTCGAAATATTTATTTATTTTATTTATTTATTTCTGTATTCTTTTACCAGGGTGGCGCTACTCAGTGTCATAGCACTGCTTTTCAGAGTGGCCCTGGGTACGACACATATATACACGGAAATACAACAATATTTACACCAAAAACAAAATCATAATCGTGATCCATTACTCGTAATCGGGGTCATGCCAGGTCGTAATAAGGGAGGGAAGTCAGAGGTCACTTAACTGAGCATACAGTGTTCTGAACGTCTGTATCGACGGTGCAGTTCTAACACCGGGTGGGAGTTTATTCCAGCCCACTGCACCTCGATAAGCAAACGTTCTCTTGCCGCATTCCAACCTAGCTTTAGGAAGTCGCAGGGACTGGTTCATACTGTGTCGGGTGGAGTAGTTGTGGGTTTCTAGGGTTCGGTTAAAGATCTAGGTACTCTGGCAACTGGTTGTTTATCGACTTTCGTACAGTTTGTAGGAGATGCATGTGACGACGTGAAGACAGATCTTTCCAGCCAAGGCCTCTATGCTACAGAATAGTTACAGTGGTCACACGGGGTTTTCTATTATATGGTGTCTCATATGTCGGGATAAGTTTGACTGTTGAGTTGATCTGTACCCACACTCCCCACACATGTAGGGTTTCTCACCAGTGTGTCTCACTGCATGTTGGTTCAAGTTACTTCTGTATGCAGTAGAATAGTCACACTGGTCACACTTACAGGGTTTTTCTCCCGTATGTTTCCTTATATGTCGTAATAAGGCAGATCGGTCAACTGCCCTGTACCCACACTCCCCACACATGTAGGGTTTTTCACCAGTGTGTGTTGCAAGATGAACGTCCAAACTGGATTTATGCGCCGCAGAATAGTCGCACTGGTCACACTTGAAGGGTTTTTCTCCGGTATGGGTCCGTATATGTTCGGATAGGCAAGACTTTCGAGCTGTCCTGTATTCACACTCCCCACACATGTAGGGTTTCTCACCGGTGTGTTTTTTTTTTTTTTTTTTTTTTAAACCGAATTTAACGTCATGTTTCCCCAACCGGGGGTTAGACGTGCTTGCACAAGGTACAAGTCTTTTTTTGAAGCAGGATTTTTACGGCTGGATGCTATTCCTAACGCCAACCTAAACCCTAGTAGGGCCTAGGATCCCTCTAACTGAGGGGGGAAATGTGTGTTAAGTGCCTTTCCCAAGGGCACAACGTCTGGGTGCATGTCCGGACATGTCTGGGTCCAACCCTGGGGATTGAACCTGGGTCTTCTTGCTTGACAGTCGGACGCTCTATCCACTACACCACACAGACGCACACGGTGTGGTTTCTTAGATGAACGTCCAAAAAGGATTTTTGTGTTGCAGAATAGTCACAAAGGTCACAGTTGTAGGGTTTTTCTCCTGTATGGGTTCTTATATGCCTACATAATTCAGACACGTGGGTTGTCCTGTATCGACACTCCCCACACATGTGTGTTTAGATAGATGCTTGTCCAATGAAACTAGATTTCCGTGCTTCAGAATAGTCCCACTGGTCACACTTGTAAGGTTTTTCTCCTGTATGGGTTCTTATGTGTCTAGATAAGTCAGAGTTTTTAGCTGTCCTGTACCCACACTCCCCACACTTGTAAAGTTTCTTACCAGTGTGTTTTGCAAGATGAACGCTCAAACTAGATTTCTGAGCTGCAGAATAGTCACACTGGTCACACTTGTAGGGTGTTTCTCCTGTATGAGTTCTCATATGTCGGTATAGGTCAGACTTGAAAGCTGTCCTGAATCCACACTCCCCACAATTGTAGGGTTTCTTACCAGTGTGTGTTGCAAGATGAACGCTCAAACTAGATTTCTGAGCTGCAGAATATTCACACTGGTCACACTTGTAAATTGTCCTGTACCCACACTCCTCACATATGTAGGGTTTCTCACCACCATGTTTTGCTGCTAGATGTCTGACCAAATTGCCTCTGTGTGCTGCAGAATAGTCACACTGGTCACACTTGTAGGGTTTTTCTCCTGTATGGGTTCTCATGTGTATGGATAAGTGAGACTCGGTTGGGTTAAGGCAGCCTATGGCATACTATGAGTAGTATTTCATACATATGACTGTAACTTTTGATAGCTTGGTCGCACCACAACTAAACTTCACACATTTCTAGTAGTACTTGAAACACATGAAATAAAGGTTATTTTGTTTTACTACTTCTGGATTTTTGGGTTAAAAATCAACATTTTGGTTAAAAAAAAGCTGTTTACTTCATGGCTTTACGCGCAAGTGGTAACAACACCTTTCATCATGATATTTTACAAGTAGAAAGCCAACCCCCTATTTATTATTTTTGTCCGAGGCTATTTTGTTTTGAATGACAGTTACATTGTTTTTTTGGGCCAAAAACGACAGAAACAGCTATTTTTCTGTCATTTTTCGTTAAAAAATCGCCACAGTTAAAAAATATCGACTTATATGCAAAATAGCCTCGGACAATTTTGATAAAAAAGTGATAATACGTAAACCTGGATTACTCTAAAGATAAATTATGTTGTTTTCAGCTGGGCGTAAAGCCATTTAAGTCATACTCGTGAACAAAATGCGTAACAACGCGGGTTTACAGGGGAAACATACAAATGACCGCCGGTAACCCCGAATTCGAATACGCGTTCTATTCGAATGACGTCATATCGAACATGGTGGAACATGATTCGGGTTCGAAACATGTATGTGGCAATCGTGCAGACACACGCCCGAACTCGAACATGAATATCAGCCTAGGCCGCCTTAACCCAACCGAGGACTCGCAATCCGCCCTGTACCCACACTCCCCACACATATTACCGGCGTTATTTAAGTTGACTTGTCGTGCTGCCGCCTGGTCTTTAACATTGATTGTTTTGCTGTTAAATTCCACCTGGGAAACCCCTGTGGGAGACCCATCACAACAGTTCTGACCAACTCCGGTGGGAGACCTGTGTCCTTCCGCTGCCATGTCCAGCCTAATGAGAAAATGAAGGAATTATAAACATTAAGCGCTTGAAGCTGTCACTGATAAAATTAGCTTGGAAAGAGACTTGGCAGTACATGTTAGTTACCATCCTATTTGTTCACTCTTATTACAAATCAGTTCCGAGTTGTGCGTTTTTCAAGTTTTGCTATTTACGCCTTATGCGCTTCTTTACAATTCAGTTAATATTTCTTTAATATTTTACGTCCACTAAAAGAGCCATTTTTCCTGATGCAGCATGGCGTACATGTATGTGGTGGGTCGAACGTGGGTCTGGTTTGCCCCCCCCCCCTCCTTTATTTTTAACATTAGTAACATTACGAACATCTTTTCAAATTATCATCCTACTGCGGTCCTTCCTCTGCAGAAATGGTCTCAAAGTATTTCCTACGACATCAGAGTACATTTCTGATCACTTTTATGTCTTACCTTCTTCCTATGATGTTCTTTTTTTTCTTTTTACGTTAACCGGCACTGACGGGCATCGTTGTCCTCCACTTGTCCGTGAGGTCAGAGACGAAGAAAAACCGGTGCAGGTCAGAGGTAAACGTCATCTGCTCAAAGGTTAAATTGTCAGCTGATATTATATATACTCCAAGCAAAGGTTTTCGTACTTTTAGGCACTTTAATTTTATCGAGCATACGTGTACACCGGTATCTTTCTTTCGATAGCAAAACGGTGGCGTATATAGATACTGCCCTGAAAAGTTGATACTGTCCTGTAGCCACCAAACGATTTGCTTGGAGAATATGGTAAATATCCAAGCAGATCCTAGGGTGGCAAAGGACAGTATCAAATCGGCCAGGCAGTAACCATTCGCCATCCAAGGATGGATTCATACTTTGACTCTAGCGTTCGCGCTTTGCAGTTCGCAGGTACTTTAGAACGATTTTAATGTGTTACGTTGGAGTGATAACGTACATGTGAAGTTTATGATGCATTCATGCTTGCGAATTCTGCATATCCTTGGGTTGCGTATTGACACCGTCTGGCGAATGGATACTGCCTGGCCAATTTCATACTGTCTTTTGCCACCCTAGGATCTGCGTAGAGATTAGATTACAGTAGCTACAGGCGACCCCCTTCCTATAGCTTCTCGAAACTCCCCCCATACGGCCAAACCGGTTTTCCTTCATCTGGGGTCTTTTGGGGGCCGCAGAATACTTTGTTTGGCAACATTAACCAGTAAACCGCCTCTAGGCGTACACACCAGTTTTGTACAGGTAAGTACAAGCTGCGCAAGACGGTCCCCTACTCTTGTGGTGGGTTCTTGAACGTCCGTGGTGTATGGCTTTTCGCCCGAACACGGGACCTCCATTTAATGTCCTATCCGAGGGACGTCCATAGCCGAAGCAAGGTACCCATTTCCATCCGAGTGAAGTGAGGATGATAGTCGATAGTCGATAGAAGTGCCTTTCCCAAGAGCACAAGTTCAGTGAAATGGTAGGATTCGAACCCGGGACCTCTTGAATTGGTACTGAGCCGAACACGCTACCAAATGACTCCACTAATTATAAGTAAGCACAGAAAAAAAGACACGCCGCGGGAGGAAATTTAGATAACGGTCTTTTGGAAGACTTCTCATGTTTTTAACACCTGTGTAATAGCCAATCTCTAAATCAGATCTTTTTGGTGGCAAGACAGCATCAAATTACTAGGAAAACTGTATCCTAAACTCCGAGTTTGGCTGGCAATAAATATGATACATGTATTAAGATAGCAATTCCTAGACTGTCTCTTGCTCCATAGCCAAAAAGCCATGTGCTCTATGTCCTTGGTTCTCTCTGCTCTACCAATACTACCTGGTTGTTTTGTTTATTTTCAGAAGTGGCGGAAGAAAGTCCTCCACTGCGACAGTGTGGCAACTTTCATATTTCATATCCATGGCTGCAGGACGCGTTTATGTAGCCAAAAAAAATTTATGGATACATAAAAAATACATTGTTAACATTAATACATTGTTTTAAGTTTTACAACACCCCGGATGGTCGTATATATATATATATATATATATATATATATATATATATATATATATATAGTGTGTAGT